CAGAGACAGTATTTGCCCCAGTTATCCAGGCTGGGATGGAGGCTCTGAAGGTAAGGCTCGAGTCCCTGGCAGCCACCTCTGCAACACTGTCTTCTGACCATCTTACCCCCCTAGGATACAACCCCTGTATCTTCAGTGATTGATGGCTGTGCAGTGAGTCAGCTTGTCTGACATAGTTGGCACTGAGTAAATGACGAGGGAAGGGATGAATGAATAATGGATGAATAAAGGAAAGAATGGACAAGTAGATCTCTCTTCTTTTCTAGGCTGCTGAGTGTGCAGGGAAGCTCTTTCTGTTCCACACCTCCCTGCCCATTGCAGAGGCCCCAGGGAAACTGAAGAACAGAGACGACAGGAAGTTGATCAACACAGACAAGGAGAAGGTGTGGGATTGGGAGCTGTGGGGAGGACTTTCTATTACAGAGGAACATGCTGTCTATTCACAATGCAGTACTCTTAAATTTCTTGAGGGGGACTGAGACTGGATCCTCTGCCCTTTCACATGTCACATCCGTGACTGCCAACCTTCTCCACTGCTCCCACACCTCTACCCCATCCCAAAGCCCTTGGTAGACTTTTTTTTTTTTTTTAAGAGACTGTTCTGTTACTATTGCAAACTGAGAGGTAGATCTGAAGTCTTACATGTCCTTGAATATCCCACATTACATATACAGCATATACAGTTCTCAAGCAGGGTGGAACTGGGATCTTTGAACATTTTTTTCTGTTCTTCCCCAGGCTCTGTTCCAGCCTCAGACAGGTGCCTATCAGACCCTGGCCAAAGAGTGTGTGGCCCAAGGCTGCTGCGTAGACCTCTTCCTCTTCCCTAACCAGTATGTGGATGTGGCCACGCTCTCTGTTGTACCCCAGCTCACTGGTGGCTCTGTCTATAAATACGCTTGTTTTCAGGTACGGCATGGGACTCTGGGTGGCAGGTGGAAGCAGGACTGGGAATGCCTGCCTGCATGTGGAGTGGCCCCTTAGCTGCTGACTCGTGAATAGGAATAGCGTTGGAGGAGAAGACTGCACAGTGTACAGAAGAGAGTGTGGCAGTCAGGAGCACGGGGCTTGGAATCAGTCCCGGGTTGATATTCTGGCCCTACTATTTACCAGCTGTGTGACCTAGGATAAATTACTTAATTATTCTCTCCTTTGTTTCTTCATCTACAAAATGGCATTTTTATAGTTATTAATTAGGATTTGTCATCAGGATTAAGTAATTATATGTAAGGCACTTAATGGGATACCTGGCATGTAATATGTAGTAAGTGCTTAAAAGCTATCATTATCATCAACATCATTATCTTCACTGTTACTGTCCTTATGATTCTGCAGGCTTGTAGAGTGGAGGGGGTGCAGGGAGATTGTTTATATGTAGTCAGTGATGTGACTCTGAGCCTGGGGGGATGCAGGTGGAAAATGACCAGGAACGGTTCCTGAGTGACCTGCGTCGGGATGTACAGAAGGTCGTTGGCTTTGATGCTGTGATGCGGGTCCGGACAAGCACTGGTCAGTCCTAGTTGGAGAAGAGCAGGTGGGGGGGCTCAGTCTGGAGGGAGTCACCTGTCATACCTTTAGCCCTGTCCATGTGGCCTCAGGTATCCGTGCTGTAGATTTCTTTGGGGCTTTCTACATGAACAACACAACAGATGTGGAGCTGGCTGGGCTGGATGGGGACAAGACGGTGACTGTGGAGTTCAAGCATGACGATCGGCTCAATGAAGAGAATGGAGCCCTCCTGCAGGTAGCGGGCAGGAGGCAGGGGTTGGGGAAGAAGTGTCCGCGGTCATTTCACTGGATATAAATAGGCTGTAGGGAAGGGGGTGAGGGATGGGTAGAGAAGACTAGAAGAGGCTGGAGAAGGGATGGCTCATGTCTGTCTTCTAGTTTAATAATATAGCAGAGGCAGTTTTCCGAGGACCATGCTGAGGGACGGGTGTGAATTCCCCCTTTCTCCCTTCCCCTAGTGTGCCCTGCTCTACACCAGCTGTGCAGGGCAGCGACGGCTCCGCATCCACAACCTGGCCCTCAACTGCTGCACTCAGCTGGCTGATCTGTATCGAAACTGTGAGACTGACACGCTCATCAACTACATGGCCAAGTTTGGTGAGGGCAGAGGCAGGGCAGGGTGGGATTGGGGCTAAGAGAAAGGTCCAGGATGGTCAACAATTCAGCATTCCTGAGTGGGTGTGATGGTGGGAAAGCACATGTGATGGAGTGGCTGACCAGTGACTGTGCTGTCTCCCTTTCCCATCCAGCATACCGGGGGGTCCTGAACAGCCCTGTGAAGACTGTTCGTGACACTCTAATCACTCAGTGTGCCCAGATCTTGGCCTGTTACAGAAAGAACTGTGCCAGCCCCTCCTCTGCAGGACAGGTAGGGCAAGCATATTGGTGGAGTTGTTGGGATACATTTTTGCATTGGGAGGGATTTCTCATGATTATTGACTTTGTTTTGATAACCCCCTTAGTTGATCCTTCCTGAGTGCATGAAGCTACTCCCAGTTTACCTGAACTGTGTATTGAAGAGTGATGTCCTGCAGCCTGGAGCTGAAGTCACTACTGATGACCGGGCCTACGTCCGACAGCTGGTTACCTCCATGGATGTGGCTGAGACCAATGTCTTCTTCTATCCTCGGCTCCTACCGTTGGTGCGACTGAGTGCTGGAGTGTGAGACATTGTAGTGAGAAAGGGACATCATAGGAGGAGGAAGGGAAGGATTAATATTATCTGTGTCTGACACTCATGAATTTTTTTTTTTTTTTTTACTCATGAATTTTTTACCTATCTTATCTGATGTAATATTTTCATACTGAGAGTTACTCAGGTGCTTAGCTTTCTGAAATTTCGTGTGTATGGGGGTGGAGGATGGGGGTGTGGGTGGGCAAACGAGTCTTATGGTCCTTGGTAACCGTTTGCCCCCTTCCTTTTGTCTAGACAAAGTCTCCCATTGAGAATACCACTGAACCACCAGCAGTTCGAGCATCTTAAGAGCGTCTAAGCAACGGGGATATATATTTGCTGGAGAATGGACTCAACCTCTTCCTCTGGGTGGGAGCAAGTGTCCAACAGGGTGTTGTCCAGAGCCTCTTCGGTGTCTCCTCCTTCAGTCAGATCACCAGTGGCTTGGTGAGGGCAGGGAGTCAAGGAGAATGTGGGTGTGGAAGTAGACTCTGTGATGTGAGTTAGGAGCCAAGAAAAGTGTGCTCATTCCCTTAAATAGCAGGGTACACTTAGAGAGGGAGGGTGCTGTCATTCTTCACAGGCTTCCGTATTTCAGATAATGCATAAATCTGTGCTGTCCCATCTTCACTTCTGGATTCAGCATAACTTACCAAAAGGATAAATGAATTTTGTGTTCCAGAGTGTTCTGCCAGTTCTAGATAATCTACTGTCCAAGAAGGTGCAAGGCCTCATTGACAGTTTGAGGGCACAGAGATCGCGGTACATGAAGGTAACACTGATCCAAACCTGGATTTCTTACCTTGTCAAGTCCTCACTGGGAAGGGGGATGGGGAGTAAGTGACTAGATAATGGGATTTCAGGGCATGTTTAATTCCCTTTAGCCCTGCCTCATGACCCTGTGTTCTGGCCGTAGCTTATTGTGGTGAAACAAGAGGACAAGCTGGAGACACTGTTCAAACACTTCCTGGTGGAAGACAAGAGCCTGAGCGGCGGAGCATCCTATGTGGACTTTCTCTGTCATATGCACAAGGAGATTCGGCAGCTACTGAGCTAGAGCATGTGGGTAAACAGCATAGGGTCCAGGCCAGCTTCCAGAAAGTACCCCAGGACAGCAGAGAAATTGGGACAGTTCCATATATTATAAGTCATATAAGCTGACCTCAGTCTCTTTGGGGGGAGGGGGAGGTATAAGGAGACACCTTCTTTCTGGGCTCAAGTATCCTACCACTCTGTCATGTCCTGCTGTTGGAAGGTGCCCCTGTCCCCTCACTTTACCATTTTCCTGCTAATCCTGTCGTAATGAATGTAGTTTATCAGTTCACTGTATATGACTTGATGTTGGGGGATTTGGAGCCACCCAGACCCTGATAATATTATGTGTCCCTTTGGACCAGCCTCCAAGAAGAGAAGGGCAGGCAGGAAGGAGTGAGGATCCCAGGGTATTACAGGGGGAGGGGCTGCTAATTCAGCTCATTGTCATCAACAACTTCCTATATTAGGGATAAACATACTTACAGGTGCACAAGAGCTGGGGTATAGACCATAGATGGTAGAGAGAAAAGTGGTCAGTCTTCTTGGGCCTGGAAGTCAACAGCCAACTCAGAGTGACTGAGGGTGGTTGATTAGCTTTCTTGCTCTGCTTCCACTGATCTTTCTCCTGAAATGATTGGTGATCACTTGGTGAACAGAGGCACGTAATCAGAAATGAATGAGCCTGGGAACAGAGTTGCAAAGTATATTAAGACCTGGTAGCGGTATCAGCCTCCTTTCCAGCTGGAGAGGCCCCAACACTGGATGGTTCTGTAGGGAGCCTGGCCATCAACTTGCAATACCTCACAGAGCCAGCCCGCATCCCACTCTGAGCTCCCGCTGGAAGCACTGCTCTCCAAGCTGGAGGTTGTTGGGGAGAGAGGCAGAGGTGGCTAGTCTCTCCTGCTAGGACACCACTCAGGCTTTCGTACTGACAGAGTGGCTGACAGTTATCTTCCAACCCCACCTAGCTGGGGCAGGACAAGGGCTAGGCTTGATGGTGGCCAGGCTTGCCTGCTCCCAGCCCGGGACGCCCCTGCTCTGGACCTCTCATTTCTCTTCGTTGGTTTATTTTTCAATGCATCTTTAATTTGTAAAGAAATAAAATAAATTAAGATGTAACCAGCAGCCTCAGTTTTATCTGCGACGTATCACTTTCCTTGCAGTACTTCCTGCCAGAATTAGCGGCTCCCGCGAAGTGGCCGGCTGAGGTGGCCACTGAGCTGCGCATGCGCCATGTGCCCCTGTGGCGTAGGACCTCGTCCCGTCACGACTCACCACGAGGCGGGGCCTGTTGCTGAGGGGCTTCGGCTGTCAGAGTAGACATGGGGGCCGGCCGCACGGCGGCTGTGCTTGCCGCCCTGGGAGTGCTTAGTGTCTGTGAGGCCAGCGGCTCAAGGCCCGTGGCGGAGGGGGAGGCCGGCGGGGCGGTGGAGTGGGCGGAGCCGTGGGACGGCGCAGTTTTCCGGCCTCCCTCCGCGCTGGGCGCAGTGGGGGTGGCGCGCGGTCCAGGGACCCCGCGGCCGGGGAGTGGGGAGGCGGTGGACCTGCCGGTGCTGCTATGGTGGAGCCCAGGGCTGTTTCCTCACTTCCCGGGCGACTCGGAGCGCATCGAGTGCGCGCGCGGCGCGTGCGTGGCGTCCCGGGACCGACGGGTGCGGGGAGACTCGCGGACGCGCGCACTGCTCTTCTACGGCACCGACTTCCGCGCGTCGGAAGCGCCGCTGCCGCGCTTGGCGCACCAGAGCTGGGCGCTCCTGCACGAGGAGTCGCCCCTCAACAACTTCTTGCTGAGCCACAGTCCGGGCATCCGCCTCTTCAATCTTACCGCCACCTTCAGCCGTCACTCGGACTACCCGCTTCCGCTGCAGTGGCTGCCCGGGACCGCCTATCTGCGCCGCGCGGCGCCTCCGCTCCCGGAACGCGCGGACTGGCGCCGCCGGGGCTACGCGCCGCTGCTGTATCTGCAGTCCCACTGCGACGTGCCTGCGGACCGGGACCGCTACGTGCGCGAGCTCATGCGCTACATCCCGGTGGGTGAGGGCGGGGCGGGAAGGGGAGGGTGGCGCGCCGGGCTGAGGCCGCTACCCCTGGTGTCCAGGCCGACGTGCCATATCTTCTTTTTTTTTTTTTTTAACATTTTTATTGGAGTATAGTTGCTTTACAATGGTGTGTTAGTTTCTGCTTTATAACAAAGTGAATCAGTTATACATATACATATATCTCCGTATATCTATTGCGTCTCCCTCCCTCCCACCCTCCCTATCCCACTCCTCTAGCTGGTCACAAAGCACCTAGCTGATCTCCCTGTGCTATGCGACTGCTTCCCACTAGCCATCTATTTTACATTTGGTAGTGTATATATGTCCATATATACGCTACCCATACCCTCTTGACGGCGTGCTGTACCCCACTCAGGTGGACTCATACGGGAAATGCCTGAAGAATCGGGAGCTGCCCACGCCGCGGCTACAGGACACAGCCACAGCCACCACTGAGGATCCAGAACTCTTGGCCTTCTTGTCCCGCTATAAGTTTCATTTGGCCCTCGAAAATGCCATCTGTGATGACTACATGACAGAAAAACTGTGGCGCCCCATGCACCTCGGTGCTGTGCCTGTGTACCGCGGCTCTCCCTCTGTGAGGGACTGGGTGCCCAACAATCACTCCATCATCCTCATTGACGACTTTGAGTCGCCGCAGAAGCTGGCAGAGTTTATTGACTTTCTGGACAAAAATGATGAGGAATATATGAAATACCTGGCATACAAGCAACCTGGGGGCATCACCAACCAGTTCCTTCTGGATAGTCTGAAGCAGCGGGAGTGGGGAGTGAATGATCCTTTACTGCCTAACTACCTTAATGGCTTCGAGTGTTTCGTCTGTGACCACGAACTGGCTCGGCTGGATGCCGAGAAGGCCTATGCAGCCTCTCCTGGGGACATCCCTGTCCTTGAGCCTCATATTGCCCAGCCCTCACACATGGACTGCCCAGTGCCCACACCTGGCTTTGGCAGTGTGGAAGACATTCCTGAGAATGACAGGTAAGGGTAGCTGGGGACCCCTGTGACTTTCAAATCAAATGATTTACTGACTTGCTTCCTGCAGGCAATAAATTAGCACTAGGTGCTGAGGGGATGTTGTATAAGGAAATTATGACATGGGATCACTCTGCCTTTAAGGTATCAAGAGTCTAGTTGTGAGGATAAGACAAACTGTGAAAGCTCAGTAAAAGATGTGAGATATCATTCAGGGCAACAACATACGAAAATCAGCTTTTGTAAACAATGTTTGCAGTAGTTCAAAAAAAGCTTCAACTAGAGTAGAGGGCCCGTTCAGGTAAGCAATGGGGGAGAGACAAAGCTGGGCCAGGTTGTACATATTCTGAATACTAGGCTGTGGAGCTGGACTGTCCTGAAAATCAACTCAGCTATTTATGGAGCACCTTCAGCATGGTGGGGCTGGGGATGAGAAATACAGAAGAGAGTATTCTGAGGGAGGTTTGTCTGCAACAATCAGGGTTTATACCTGTTAACCTGGTGTAACTATTAACAGCACCTCCTTTCACTCTTAAAATTACCCTGATTTGGATGATAAATTATATGTTTGTCCTAGACACAGTAGAGGGGATGCTTTCAAAGGTTGATTAACAATGGTGGGCAGTGTGGATTGGAAGGGAAATGAGGGGGCTACTGCAGTAGGTGGCAGAAGGTGGTGACATTGGGAAACAAGGTCAGCATGGGAGGTGGGGTGAGAAAATGTTGAAGCCACTTGCAGCAAACCACACCTGTTGGGGGAGGGGTGATAAAAGATTATTAGCCTTGAGAAAGAGAGGCTGCTAGAATGTCCTGCAGAGATCACCTTGGACAGTGGATGGCAGCAGAGGGCTGGCACAGTTTGGTCCTGGGAGTGGAGGTAATTTGTACCCAGTAATTTACATCAAGTAATTTGTATCTAGTTTGTGCTGAACATAATATTATGGTTTATCAGAGGAAAAGTGTAACACATTAAAAAAAGAGAAACATTCAGGTTCTGTCTCATCAAGACACTGGATACTATTGCACTTTCATTTTGATTATTGAAATAGGTGTAACATAAAAGGTAACCATCTAAATATGCCCCCTTGCTTTCTTAGGGAGATTACTGTGTCCATAGTTTGGCCCCTGTCCTGCCTGCCTCTTAATTCCCTCCACATTTGGGGACCAAGAGCACGCAAGTCAGGAAATTTAACTCATTGGGGGAGGGGGGGTGTTGTGTGATAAATTTGTGTTTGTGGCTTACTGCCTGTCACTTGGACTAGTACTGGGTTTACTTCATATTTCCTTCCTTCAAAGCAGATCCCTCATCCTAGCCATAAACCACTGTATCTGCTTAAGATTTCTTTGGCCATTCAGAGAAAGGTAGGACTCAGCTGTGCTGAGGTTCCGTAATCCAACTCCCATTTTGATGTTTCAGCTGGAAGGAGATGTGGCTGCAAGATTACTGGCAAGGCCTGGACCAGGGGGAAGCTCTCACTGCCATGATCCACAACAATGAGACACTGCAGAGGAAATTTTGGGATTACCTAACTGAGATCTTCATGAAAAGGAACCAAAACCTCTAATTACTCTTGCAAGAGTCCTTAACTTGATAGAGCTAAGGAGATGGAAGTCCTTATTCTACCATGGGACATGAAGGGTATCTGCTACACAAGTTCTTAATGAGCACTGTCTTACCATGAGTTCAAAGAATAAGTTATATCTACTGATATTTTATCCTAAAGATGTGTAGCCAGGGTCTCAGCCTATGGTAATAGGGCCTCTCCTCAAGGAGAGATAGAGGCATCCAGTTCTTGGTTTAGTGGGAACCAGAAGCCTGAAACACCCATTTGATTAAAGGTGCTGATCAACAAAAGTTTTAAAGAACTGCTTATTTCTCTAGCCATATCATCCTCTCAGTCATGATTGGGACAACACGTTAGTACTTGGCTGTGAATGAGGTAAGATGGGCCAGGTTTAGCATCTTTAGAAAACTACTGTGCTATTCCTCAAACCATTCATTATTCAGTACTTTTCCCAATCTCTTTTCCTCATCTCTTGCTTTATAAACTGTTATGTTGGTGGTGAAGCAAAACTCCTGGTGGGTTGTATTCTGGCTCTCTGGAGTTGTATTTTTTATATCATTTACTTTGCTTTTCATGTCAACCTTTTCATTTTGAATGGCTTTTTCTTTCCTGGTTTTCCACAATTTCTGATGGAGACGGAGTAGCCTTGCCACCATTCCCGCATTCATTTTTTCCAGCATTAAACTGCCTGTAGATTTGACAGCTTTTCTTACTGCTGGTTTGCTTCTTATCTAGGATATATCTGAAATTTCTTCTCCACTCATGAGTAGAAAGATTCAGTGGCTAATAAATGTCATGCCAATTTAATGAATTGTCCTGCTCTATTTTAGATTAGAGATGGAGACTCAGGCTGGAAATGACAGCAGAAAAAGCTATAATGATTTTGAAATGTTGAAATAGGCCAATGTGAATCTAAGTGCAGATTTTTATAAGTCCTTGATCTCTGCTGTCTGCCTAATGAACTCTTCTATTATTTTTATATGCTACAAAAGTCCATTTCCCCCCAAAACTCATGAAAATTATGGCAGAAAAAAACAGCCCAGCAATATAGCTCTAGTAATTCTCTCATATTCTGTGGCACTTTTCACTTTAAGTGGGATAAATATTCCAACTTCATTCACTCGATTACTGTTACAACGCACAACTTTATAGTACTTACTGAGACTACATTTTGATGGAGCCCACCCACCTAAGCTCAAGGGCATGAGAAGCGAAGCAAGACATTTAAGCCATCACAAGTGGCTGGCTAAATAAAAAGTTGTTAGTCAGATTTAGGGAGGTAGCCAGACCCTTCTATTGCTGTGGTTTAAACATACAGCTTAATGGACAGGGAGACCATTTGCTTTTTCTGGGGCAGTGGAACAAGAAAGAATACCTTGGATCTTAGAACTACCCTGGTTGTAATGTTGTATTAATGAGTTATCACTAGAGAAGTTCCATGGCTTATCAATATGTCTGGTTTAAATTAGTGTGTGTGTATGTATGTATATATACACACATTAATTTACAAACATATATATATATATATATATATATATATGTAGTTGTAAAGACTGAAGAGGAAGATGATGCTTATGACTTCAGTACAGACTATGTATAATAGAATCTTGTCCTTCTATAAGGTTTTGTTGGGTTTTAATTTTTTTTTTTTTTACATCTTTATTGGAGTATAATTGCTTTACAATGGTGTGTTAGTTTCTGCTCCATAACAAAGTGAATCATTTATACATATACACATGTTCCCATATCTCTTCCCTCTTGCATCTCCCTCCCTCCCACCCTCCCTATCCCACCCCTCCAGGCGGTCACAAAGCACAGAGCTGATCTCCCTGTGCTGTGCGGCTGCTTCCCACTAGCTATCTACCTTACGTTTGGTAGTGTATATGTCCATGCCTTTCTCTCCCTTTGTCACAGCTCATATATGTTCCCATATCTCTTCCCTCTTTGTCTCCCTCCCTCCCACCCTCCCTATCCCACCCCTCCAGACAGCCACAAAGAACCGAGCCGGGATCTCCCTGTGCTGTGCGGCTGCTTCCCACTAGCTATCTACCTTACGTTTGGTAGTGTATATGTCCATGCCTTTCTCTCCCTTTGTCACAGCTCACCCTTCCCCCTCCCCATATCCTCAAGTCCATTCTCTAGTAGGTCTGTGTCTTTATTCCTGTCTTATCCCTAGGTTCTTCATGACATTTTTTCCCTTAAATTCCATATATATGTGTTAGCGTACGGTATTTTTCTTTCTCTTTCTGACTTACTTCACTCTGTATGACAGACTCTAGGTCTATCCACCTCATTACAAATAGCTCAATTTCGTTTCTTTTTATGGCTGAGTAATATTCCGTTGTATATATGTGCCACATCTTCTTTATCCATCCATCCGATGGTGGACACTTAGGTTGTTTCCATCTCCGGGCTATTGTAAATAGAGCTGCAATGAACATTTTGGTACATGATTCTTTTTGAATTATGGTTTTCTCAGGGTATATGCCCAGTAGTGGGATTGCTGGGTCATATGGTAGTTCTATTTGTAGTTTTTTAAGGAACCTCCATACTGTTCTCCATAGTGGCTGTACCAATTCACATTCCCACCAGCAGTGCAAGAGTGTTCCCTTTTCTCCACACCCTCTCCAGCATTTATTGTTTCTAGATTTTTTGATGATGGCCATTCTGACTGGTGTGAGATGATATCTCATTGTAGTTTTGATTTGCATTTCTCTAATGATTAATGATGTTGAGGGTTTTTAATATTTTGAGCAGACTGCTAAGCTGTTTTGTGTGTGATATACCAGCTTTTTAAAAAAAATTAATTTGTTTTTATTTTTTGTTTTATTTTTTTGCGGTACATGGGCCTCTCACTGTTGTGGCCTCTCCCTTTGCGGAGCACAGGCTCAGGACACGCAGGCTCAGCGGCCATGGCTCACGGGCCCAGCTGCTCCGCGGCATGTGGGATCTTCCCGGATCGAGGCACGAACCCGTGTCACCTGCATCGGCAGGCGGACTCTCAACCACTGCGCCACCAGGGAAGCCCATATTTGTTTTTATTTTTGGCTGTGTTGTTTCTTCGTTGCTGTGCGCAGGCTTTCTCCAGTTGCAGCGAGCGGGGGCTACTCTTTGTTGCGATGAGTGGGCTTCCCATTGTGGTGGCTTCTTATTGCGGTGGCTTCTCTTGTTGCAGAGCATGGGCTCGGCTTCAGTAGTTGTAGTTGTGGCACGGGGCCTCTAGAGCGCAGGCTCAGTAGTTGTGGCGCACGGGCTTAGCTGCTTTGCGGCATGTGGGATCTTCCCGGGGCAGGGATCGAACCCGTGTGCCCTGCATTGGCAGGCAGATTCTTAACCACTGTGCCACCAGAGAAGCCCACCAGCTTATTTTTAAATTTAGGAAATCTAGCTCTTTAGAGCTAGATCAAAGCTAACATCAAGTGTTTATTTAAAAAAATAATGGCACCTGCTTGGAATGGCGTGAAGATTTACAGAGGGGCTTCCCTGGTGGCGCAGTGGTTGAGAGTCCGCCTGCCGATGCAGGGGACGCGGGTTCGTGCCCCGGTCCGGGAAGATCCCACATGCCGCGGAGCAGCTGGGCCTGTGAGCCATGGCCGCTGAGCCTGTGTGTCCGGAGCCCGTGCTCTGCAACAGGAGAGGCCACAACAGTGAGAGGCCCGCGTACCGAAAAAGAAAAAAAAAAGATTTACAGAGAATTTACAATTTTTGGCTGACGTGAAACTATATAATATACTGCAAAATGGAAATTCTGCAACAGACCTCGCAATAAACATTTATATATATGGGGTGCTCATATATTGTATATATATGAGATGCTTCAACAACTAGGGTCCTAAAGATGTGGCCAAGCAAAGCTATAATTCAGGCTAGGTTTCACTGCCAGGGTGGTTCTTTTTTCTTTTCCTTTTTTTTTTTTTTTTTTTGGCTGTGCCGCATGGCTTGTGGGACCTCAGTTCCCGGACCGGGGACTGAACCCGGGCCCTCGGCAGTGAAAGCACAGAGTCCCAACCACTGGGGAACTCCCCTTTTTTCATTTTATTTAATAAAAAATGCCCTTCATAACAGCATGGAAAGTTTTCTGTTTGGACTTTTGCAGAAAAGAATAAGAGAGAAAGACAGACCTTCGAAAATACTTATGTTAAAATTTGATATAGTGAGGACTCTTACAAAAGAAGCCAAATTCAGGACTCTGATTTCTAAGCTTGCAATCTATTTAAATGCAGATGCTAGTTTATATAGTGCAAAATACATTATTACCCAAGTGCAAAATAAGGTTAGGACTCAAATTTCATTATGTGCAATGAAAAGGGTAGGTGATGGTTATGCAAGGTGTAGAATCATCCCTACCTCTCCTGTCTAATTACAACAGTTCACCCTGGCATTACCTTAGCACTTTTATGTACAAAGTAGGCCAGTTTTTTATGAATGATTGTGGCTGGAGACTCATGCCTGCTTTGTGGTCAGTACTTCCCAGACTTTCTCCTTTATTCCTCTTACTGTAAAAGTATTCAAAACCGGGTGCTACATTTCTACAAAGGAAAGCAGAACCAGGAATAGCCACATGGCTATCTAACTAAAGGCCTCACTTTCTCTGTGGAGAAAGCAAGCAATGTGAATTTTCTCTGGTTTGGGGCCCAGCCTGCTCTGTATACAGTAGCAGACTTGGGGTTATTGGTGGTAGAAGTTCTGATAGGAATTAGCTTTATTTGTGTTGCTGCAGTAGGGGTGGAGCATGGGGCTGATGCCTTTATTATTCCCGAGTTGCTTCTTCGATTATCACAGGTTTAATTTTGTATAATAAATGGCTTATTTTTAAACAGTGTCTTCTGCTTGGTTTTATTTCTGGGGTGAAGATGGTAAAGCTGGAGACTTGCAGAAATATTTCAAACATTTGTTCATTTAACAAGTATTGATTGGCACTACTCTAGGCCTTGGGGATACAGCACTGAACAAGATAGACAAGGTCCCTTCTCTCATGATGCTTACATTTTAAATGGGTGTTGGGGGGTAAGGCTGTAAACAAACAATAAATGAACAAGATAATCCAGACTATGATAGGTACTCTGAAGAAAATAAAACAGGTTGATGGTGGTTTGGATGGAAGTCAGGGAAGTCCTCTCTGACATGAACTGGGACTCAGTAGAAGAAAAAGAACCAGTCATGCAGAGATAAATGGGAAGGTTCCAAACATCTGTGATAAATGATTAGCACACACTAAATATTGCTTCTCCATAGTAGTCATCTTATGAACTACAAGCTTGTCCAAGTTATGCTTCCATTACCAGAGACATTTCTTGGAGCTCATGTGTAAATGCCTTGAGAATGAGTGGTTCATCTTTGGATTGAGTTTTGTAAACAGCTAAAAGTCACTTGGTGGGGAGCGGGGTGGGGCAGGGGAAAAAAGTAACTTAGAACCAAGTCTGATTGAAGCTAGGCATCATAATTGAAGGGCCGAGTGTATAAATAGGAATGGTACTGCCAAGTACCTTCAGAGGATTGGCGAGAGGATTAACTAAAACGATGAATGCGAGAAAGTGCTTAAACCACACCCAATCCAGTGAGATCAATACAAATGAACAA